CCCCGGCGAAGAAGTAGGGGGATCTCCCGCTGAATTCTGTAGCCCATGTCTTTCCTATTCTATACCCTGTGGTTGCTCCTTGCTGGGGTCCGGGCTGTTGGGTGCCTCTGGTCCGTGGGGCCCCGCTTCTGCGTTGAGGGGAAAAGTTGGTCGACCTGGGGAAGCACTGCCAGTACCCCTTATATGATGGTCCAGCCATACAGAAGAGGTGTTTAGTCCAGGTAACTCTGCTTGTTGTCTGTGGGGTGTTGTGTTGAAGAGGTCTGGGTTGGATCATACCCTTGGCTATAGGCAGAAACTTTGAAGTTCTCAGGAAGCCGGTGAGAAGCCATATGGTCGAATGGAAATAGCACTGCCCCGGCTTGGCTTGTGTTTAAGTCGTGTCTGTTTGCCCGCACAACAGAGAAGCATGAGAATGCCACTTCTTTCTGTAAATTGCCTTTACAGTTTCAGAAGGGCAGGTGTCTCTAGTGGGGAGTTTGCTATTCATCAGCAGTATGACTGTGATTGAAATAATAGTTGGTGTCAAGTAGGGAAGGTTTTCAGCTGGGTCAAAGACATTAGAGTGAGTTTATATGGAAACTTATAATACCCATGTGGAGCAAAATTTGGCTTCTGTATCTGACCATTGTTTTTTTCTCGTATTTTATGAATTTCTGCTTTGTATAACATGCTATATTGTAAGTGACCGTGTAAAGCAATGACTAGGTTAGCATAGCAAACCCCTTTTGTTGCAGGAGTTTTTTGTTGTAAGTTGAGGTTTTACCAGGTTTAAAAATCTGTTATTTCAGAAGCTATTTTAGTGTAACTAAATGCTAATTTGAATTGGGATTCTTAAATAAGCCGTTAACAAACTGGCATGGTTTTATTATGATACTTGGCAGAGAGATAGGTTATTGCTATTCCAGCAAATTGTTAGCATATTGTATTTAGAGTTTAAGTACTTCGAATTTGACTTATACAGGGAAAAGATAAGCTAGCTAGTAGTTCTTTGAGCCATGTTACCTGTAGCTTTTCTCTCATTTTGCAACTATGGCAAAGTAAAACATTAAGGAACAAAACAAGGCATCCCTGGTGGTCTCCTAATTGTTGAAGCAATTAAAGTACAGCAACCTGATAACGCTAATAAGGTTGTTTGTATGAATAGACTGCTTGTTAGTTAATGTACTGAATACATTTCTCTTTCCAGATTTAGTAAGGAGAAATTGATGCAGGTTGGACATTGACCTTTTAATCTGAAAGGTTGATTTTTCTTGGAGAAGATGAGTTAAAAGTTCAACATCCCCATTACAGCTCTCATACCTGTACAAGAACTAAACTAGGTTGGATAATACCTGGAAATAGTTTGATAGGCATATTGGAAATAGAGAAGAACTAGCAGCTATTCAATTGTCAGATTACTTTTTGAACACAGCTTATAGTAGGCCATTGCTTTTAGAATTTCTCATAGAGTTGGAAGTAATTATGAAAAGAAAGCATGAGATTTGGCCACTGCAATAAACTTTGTGGTAACTTACAGTACAGTTGACTGTATTTGTGGACTAAGTTAACTAGTATAGTTCAATTACAAAAAAGGCAAAAACCAATGGCATGAATAGCAAAGTAAGTCTAAGGATACATAATTTTAACTGTGTAGTACACAGTTCATAGTTTTGTGTCTCCAGTTTAAATAAGAATTCACTGGAAAATCCAGGTGTTGACAGAAATGAAACAATTTTCTGCATGTTCGTAGAGTGTTCTATCATTATGCAAGTGAGAGCACTGAAGACTATACCTGGACTAATAAAAAAACCTCCAACTGGGATACTTGAAGCCAGTGTTGCTGTTTTATTAGTGCTATGAACCGACTCCACTGATGTGCAGTATCGGTGTTTCATATGTGCTGTCAAACCATTTTATAAATTGTGGTTTGGTGCAGCTATAGCATAGTTTAATTTTAGAGCATGCCTTCCAAGGAAACATTGATTTTTCCTGTTCTATGAATACAGGGAGCTAACTGTTCCGATTTTGAAAAAGTTGTGAGAAAGAAATGGAGAATTTTGTTTCCTTGCTCTTGTTACTCAAATTATTTTTTCGCTTGATAATTTGTTAGGCAGTTCTAGTTTTTGGGGAGGATTTATTTATGAAACTTCATAGTGTTCTAAGTAAATTGTACTGCATTTTGAAAGTCATTCTTAGAATTGAGATTTTTATCAGAGACAGCTGGCAAAGGAGTGACCTCCATTAGTTTGCCATCTTAGTTGAATAAGACGACTGCAGCTTTTTATTTTTTCATGGGGGTTTGATGCTGAGTGTAATTACTGCATATTTTTTGGAACATTTTTTTCCCTGGAAAAGCATTTTTGGTTTTGCATAGATGGTAAAAATATTTTTGTAAGCAGTGGATAACTCCATGAGGTGGTCTTCAAAATAGTTTCCTGCTCTTTATCTCCTGAGTCCAAAGAAAATATCTTGGATCTTCTGTACTGCTTTCAGCTTAATAATTGTTCTTCACTGTTTATACAGTTAAATATTTGAGCAAAATATTGGAAGTTATCTTTTTTGTCTTTTTGTATGCCAGTGAAATGTACTGTAGTTTGTTTTGTGGTATAGTGTTACCTGTGGAGACTGCAAAATTAGTTTCTGCCTATGTGTGTCCGATAAGAAAATTTTAAAATTTGAATGAAATCTTTATAGATTAAAATGCATGGGGGGATATTTCTGTAAGCATTAATAATAACAAGTTTTGTCTTCTGACTTTGAAGTTGGCAGTCATGTGGGCTGAGAGCTTTCTTGGCTATGTGAAAAGCCTGTAATTTCTGTTTGCTCAGGTTTGATGTTAGATAGCATTAACAAGGCGAGCATAACAGCATGGAAGACTCTGGGTAAAGTAACTACCCTTAAATGAGTTTTACTTCATTGCTGTATCTGCTCTGCAGAATTGTGACAGCCTATTTAGTGCCTCAGGAAATGAAGAATCTACATAAGGTGAATTTTCTACTTAAATGCTTTATTGTCAAACCCTCACCCCTTTATTCTCACAGAGGGCTGGGGGAAATTCATTTTCCAGGCCTCTTTTATGCTGCATAAACGAACAGAAGCCTACAATTTGGTTTCTAGTGGCTCTTTTACATCAAGCTGGGTTATATAAGGGTATCTGTTCTGTAGTGATCTATCATGCATAAAACAGATTAGATGATTTCATAATCTCATCCATGTGAAATTTGTGGAGGAAAGAAATGCTACAAAATACTCTTCATCTCCTTTTGCACATAACCTTTGAATAGTTAAGAAGCTCTTCCAAGTCCATGCAAGACAGGTTTTCCTATTTTATGTGCTTTCTAGGCCATCATGGATGTCAATTAATTTCTTGTCTGGCTGAAGAACAGTAGTAGTTAGCAGTGTTTGGTTCTATTCCCTTACATACGGTCTTAAGCCTTCAAACTCGAGTTTGAAAGGCCTTTCAAACATGGCTGTAATTTTTAAGATGCTACAATTAGGAGTAGTCAGTTTAGATTCAATGAAATTTATCTTACAAATGTTCATAGAAAACCACTTTCACTGCTTCCGCCTTTTGCTAAGACACTGTCAGGGTCTTGGCAAAAGTGTTGCCATAGCTCAGTCTACTGAGTTAGTTCGGCCTTTGCTGCTTGCCACAGTCTTACCTTCCTCTCCTGTGCTGGCAATAGCGCTTCTGCACTTGTATATACCCTGCTTTGTAGAGGTGGTCTTAAGCTAGTGCAGTACCTTGAACCAGTTTGCTGTCCAGGCACAAGAAGTGGGATGGGACCTGGAAAGTTCACGCTTAATTTTAGAATAGATTTACAGCCTTACAGTACAGGTGCCTGCACATCGTTTTCCTAGTATTTATTTACAGAATTTAACTGCGCAGCTACTAACTTTTTTGACACTTAAGTGCCTGTTCCCCTTTATCCAGTGCCTCTAAAGAAACTAGCTGGAGCATTCTTATGCTTTGAGAAGAATTATAAAAATGACAGTGTGTGATTGTGGGTTTTTTTTTTTAAGCAACTCAATTAATGAGCATTTGCTAGGAGAATACTTGGTATGGAACTCCTTGTGTTTGTAGTTTGGAAAATCTTGCTGCTCATTCTGCAGAAAATTCTATATGCTGAATCTGTCAGGAAGTGAAGAGTATTAGTCTGGCTAACATTGCATTTTGAGGTGGAGTGAGGCTCAAAAAAAGTGCTGAGGTCTGCTATTTTCCACGTCTGAGTGTGTAAGGTATGTTGTAGAGTATTTTAATGATGAGAAATAAATTACTTGCATTTCACTAGTATTTCTTTTGGTTGACATGTATTTCTTTTTAGGGGATTTTTCTGTAGTTAATACTGCATTTCTCAATTGAAAATAAATTTTGATGTATTTTTTTAATAGCTCACAGGAGTCCTAGATGATTGTTTGTGTGACATAGAAAGCATCGATGACTTCAATACTTTCAAGATCTTCCCTAAAATACAGAAACTGCAAGAACGTGATTACTTCAGATATTACAAGGTACAGTTAGAGTGGTATTTTCCTGAACCATTTAAATAAAATCCAGAAAATACAGGGAGGATTACACATTAAATCAACTTGTCTGTATTGAGTTGTCTTTTAGAAGCCCACAGATCTTTAATTTGATTGTAGCAGGTTTTCAGTCCCTGACAGTTATGTTGGTAGTAAGTTGTGTTTGCTGTGTTAAACCTGGAGTCAGTGACAGTAAATTATGACTACTTTTATTCAGCTGATAAAGGCAGTATCTTTGTACTGCTGCATCTAGAAAGGATTGTATATTAGCAACTTTCTGACAGCATGCGATACTTGTTTTCTAAGAAACCTGTGTAATTTGGAACTGAAATATTCCAATGATTTCCTTTTTTTCTAAGTTGCTATCTTAGTTCTAATTTTAGTATGTGCTATCTAGAGAACTGTCATTCCTTTGATAAACTGGTAAAAGTACTCAATTTTCAAGTAGTGTGTAATATCACTTTTTAATGACTTTAAGTACTGTTTTTCTCTGTATTAGACTCTAATAAGAAAAATAAGAATTTGAAGCCTGATAGTTCTGTTTTGAGATATGTTTAGCTTGAAATTTGCTGGTTTGTGGGTTTTTTTTCCCTTCCCTCTCAGGACATAGCAAGCTATTGAGCTGATCTGGTATCAGACAAGTCTTAAACTCATGCAAGATAGGGTTGTGAATGCAAGGAAGGAGGAAAAAGTGCTAAAATTTTCCTTTTCTAGTCTGAGCAAGCAGTAATGTGTAACTTCACCCTGAATCTCCTCCTGCTCCATGGTACAGTTCTATCTTCACTTTTCAGGAAAACAACATATGTGCAACCTCAGTGATAATACATCACATAGTAGTGGTAATTAGATTCTCCAGAAGCATCAGAAAGATACAAAACAGAGTATTTGAAGAGGAGGAACAACAGGTACATGGGTTTTATACAACAGTAATTTCACCCTATAAATTTAGAGCTAATCTTAATTTCAACAGCAGTTCTGCAGAATATACTTTAATGGTGTGTTAAAGTCCTGCCCCGTCTTCCTAATCAGTGGGCAATTACAAGGGCCAGTGTGCAGTCCGCACATCAACACGCATTACTTAGTACTTGGAGATGTGACAGGGAAGAATTTGTGTTGAACAAGCAAACTGAGTAAGACATATTTTTTCACCCTTTCTCCTCTGAATAAGTAACAGAGAGGTTCTTTATGTCCCTGCAAAGAATCATGGAAGTGCTGTTAAGCAGATAGATGCATATGGAAGTTGCAAGGGTAGGTAATGATCATCTATGTCAACTACAGTGTAAGTAAATACTGAGTAAGCATAAGGGGAGTATGCTTGCTCTGGGTGTGAAAACACTCCTACTCTGAAGTAATTTAGTTTGTAACAGAATTTGGATCATGAACATTTCTAATTACCAGCCACAGTGTTCCCATTGTATTATAGTTCAACAGTCATATAATATATCATACTGAATGGACTAGCTAATTTTTATTTAAAGGACGAAGAAGACTTGCTTTTTAAACTCTTGCTGAAATTGTGCTGGGTGGTTTCTAGACAGTGGAACACTTCTCAATGAAAGAAACAAGGGAATAAAAATTTTTGTCTCTGTGTAGTTTTATACATCAAAGCACACAGACTATGGAAGCCTCGTGATAATGAATCTGACTTCTGTGACAAGTATTGAGTAATACTCTGAATGATAAAAATGAAATGAATACTTCAAACCCTGAAAAAAGCAGAAGTTTGATATAGTCTGCGCATGATAGGTGTTGATTAAAGTACAAGCACTGTACGACCTCAGTTTGTCTCACATCTAGGACTAGTATATTTGCAGGTGTTCTTTCTGAATTAACCTGCACTTTAGGCAGCAGTATTCTTTTATTTACAGTGTTTCTCTGTGTAAGAAGTTACTGCATAAGTTGTTTGTATCTTCCTAAGTTGTTAGCATTTTTTATTGTTAGAGTTTACTTTGGACAAGGTTGTAGTCTAACTATGTCAGCTGGTCTTTTTCTGTCAGAAATTGGTGGGAGGGGCATGTTCTATATATTAGGTCTTACTGTGAAAGTGACGTAAAATGTAGTACTTTGTGCTTTATTTAAAAAAGATGATGAGTGAACAGGTACAAAAAAATTCTAGGATTTTACATTCTTTTTTTTTCTAGGGATGGTGTTTGTAGAGTGAGTAGAGGAAAGGGGGATGAAGCAACCTAAAATCTCTGCTCTTAATGTATCTGTGCTAGCATGACTTGAACTGTAACTAGAAGATAGTTGTCATCACTTCTAAGAAGTCATACCATCTGCTTAATGTCTTGTTAGGGTTTTTTTGACTGACGAGTATCTTTAACATTTATAATTCCCAGTTGCGCTGAATAAGCACATGAAAATGGAAACCTGGAAAACAGTTTTTCCTTCACATGTTATATAGCAATTGACTTCGTGTGTGTGTGTTGAAAATACAGAGAGAACTTACTTTCTGAAAAGTTTGGTAGAGGAATTTGGTATAAAAAGGGGCAGTTGAGCAAGTCAAACATTACGTTTTAGTCTTTGGGGATCTCTTGTGGTATTGACAGAACACTTGAAGAGGGCATTCTTTTTGTTTTACTTTAATTTGGGTACATAGTATCATAGAACAATTAATCCTTCAAGCAGTAGAGGTTGTTTCTTTATTTCAGGTCCATAGTTGTGCTTTTTATTTATATTTATATTATTTTTATTTATTAAGAGAATAGACTAGGGAGAGTAAAATCTGTCTATAATTCATCTCAGATTCTTCATATTGTGTCGGCTCTGTATCAGAGGCATATTGATGGGTTTGATCAACTCCTCATATTGATGAGTTTCCCTTACGGTTAGTATATGGTGTATAATGCCAGGCAGGAAAAAAAATAGTAATAAAATTAATTCAATTCAGGCTTTTTTATTGCTGAGTCTCAGGTTTGACAGTTCAGTGACCGTAGCCGTTGGGCTTCTATTACTGTATTCCCCCCTAGAACCAGGTCATTTAAAGTGGGTTTTATCACTGATGTTCCTTTGTGTAAGACTAGTGTAAGGGAAAGCTGGGAATTTTTTTTCCCTTCACTGAATTTCACATTGACAGTGCAAATGTAGTAAAGTGCTTTAATCTCTTGCCATGTAGTATGTGCTAGTATATGTGGTACTTGTTGCCTTGATTGTGCCATGTCAAGAAAAATAGGAGCACTAATCATCACAGGCTTTGCTGGTAATGTTTCTGAAGTCGTTTCTCTTCATTATTTGTATTTGTATATATCAGATCCCTAATTTGAGGCCATTGTCATACTCATTCTTCCTTGACTTGCTATGATGTGTAGTAATGATTGCCTCTTCTTATTTCTTCAAATCTGAAATCACCCAAGCACTTATTTGAGTTAGGAAACTTGTATACTAGTCTATCCTACATCAAATGTATTTTCTTGATCTGCATAGTACAACTGATTGTAACTACAACCATTTTAGAACAATATATGACTGATTTACCTTTATTTTAGTGGTTTATGTACTGCTTTGAAGTTATGTTAGTGGTAAGAGGTTTAATTTGTGCTTTAATATACTGTGTATTTACTCCATTGGAGACCATTATCACTAACAATTCTACTGCAGCAAGCTTGATCTTGTATACTCAGATGGAGAGTAGTTCAACCAACCAACTGACCAGACTCCCACAAAGCCCCTCAAACTTGAATTTAATGCTTTTTCCTTTTATCCTCTCCTTTAATTTAAAAAAAAATCTTGATACTAAAGAGCTCTCCCTTCTTTCCACCCCCCACCCCCCTAAAAAATTGTCTTATGTAAGTGTTGATTTTAAACTTTTGCTTTTGTATATTTAGGTCAACCTGAAGAGACCATGCCCATTTTGGGCTGATGATGGCCATTGTTCTATCAAAGATTGTCATGTAGAGCCTTGTCCTGAGGTATGGATCAAATAATATAAAATAGAAAACGGTTATTCAGTTAAAAATTTTGCAAATTTTCAGTGACTACTACTATACTAACTATGTTTACTAGTGAGACCTTAAATTTACATAAGTCACAATACAATTGTTTTCCATTTAAAAAGCAGAAATACAACCAAATTATTTAAAATCTTAGTCATTTTACCAATAAAACAAATAACTTTAAGAATAAGTCTCATCTAAGGTCTAGCACTGTTTTGGGTATAACAAGTTGAGAAGGTAAAGGAGCAAGTTAATTATTTAAAACCAAGTTTACTTCAGTCTCTGTAGGAATGATGTTTAATTTGTAGATTTTAATCAAGCATGATGATTTCTATGAACAGTCTAAAAGCTGATTTATTTGTTTTCAGAGCAAAATACCTGTCGGAATTAAGGCTGGGAGCTCTAATAAGGTGGGTGTGACTTTTTAGTACAGACCTTCAGTCTTGCCATAGTGATGAAAATGTTAACATAACTTATCAGTTCCTGTATGTGGCTTTACATTTTTACTTTTATGTATAATAGTGTTTCTGACATAGCTGGTACTGTCATTCTGAGTCTGTCATAGCTTGAGAGCTGGTGCAGGCTCTCAATCGATGACAGGCTCTCAGTCAGTGAATAACCAGGGACATCAGGATGTGGCTACAGAATGCCTGATACAAAATTCTTCATTCATTTTGAATACAGACCACCTTCTATAAAGCCATAGGCTAAGATGTGCAGAGGCAATAGCAGTACAGTCTTTTGTAAGAATCATGTACAACCACAACCTCTAATATTGAAAGAACTTAAAAGATTACATGTAGTTTTTCCATACTTAATCTTGAGCAGGTCATTAGTCTAAAGATGATTTAGCCATTAGTCTAAAGAGAATTTTTGTTCAAGTGTTCAGTGCAAGCTTAAGTAGTCAGCCTGTGCTGTTGGCGTTTGATTGCTTCTCTCCAAGTGATCCTTTCTAGATCACCAAAGTGCTATTAGCAAACACAAGGAAGTAAAGAGGGTATATATGTCTAGAAAAGAGGTCAGAGCAGAAAGACAAGCAACCCTCCTCCACCCCCAAATCCCAAACATAGTGCTGAAGAATAAGGATTTTAGCAGTTGGTGGGATAATAGCGCCTGTATGAGAGATCTTCCTGTTGAGTGCATTGGCTGTGTTGCAGGCTCTTATTTACTCTTGCTTAACTATCATATCTCCATCCTGCCCAGTACCTTCTGCTGGACAGTCGTAGTTGGTGATTGCTTACCTGAGTGTGGTTCACCATGTCATAAGTGACCGTTAGCATTAGGTTTAGACTTTATGCCAAGACAGATTACCAAAGATAGCTGAGAGGAATACTTCATTGCGATTTGATGACTTCTGTGTCCTGCTGTCAAAAAGAGCGCAGGCAAGTCTGGCCAAGCTTTAGCTCAAGGAAGTCTCATCTACTGTTTGTATATACGTTGTTAAGCTCACTCAGAAGTAAGGTGTGCCTCTTCCTGTAAAAGTTTCTGCTGATTGGAGAAGAAATGTCTTTTTAAATATCAGTCATTCACTGTTTCAGCACAAGCAGCAGTACTTGTTCTGGAACATCTTTGGCACTGTCTCTGGGCAGGAGATCTTGAGCTTTAGCTGAATAATCTGTTGCTAATTCTCTTTTTCTTTTTTTCATTGAGACTTCTCTCTTAAAGCTTGATTGTAGCGAAACTGACTCCTGGATTACTGTAATGCACCCTAAAGAGGCATTTCAAGACTTTAAAGACTGTTTTAGAAAGAATTCTTCTCACAGGCATTTGAACTTCCTCATTGATAATCTTGAGAGCCATAAATAAGATGTTAATTAATAGCTGTAGGGTATGCTGTTTTTCAGACACTTCACATGGGCATATCGAATTGGACTTTGGAAGTTAAAAATCAGCCACCTTTTGCTTTCACCACAGTAAAGAAACTGGGATAGCTTATTTGGGAAGCTATCATTTGCTGGTATATTTGCTGCAGTTGTTTCTTTTGAATTGCCTTCTAGGTGTTGCAACCAGCTACAGTACTGAAAATTTGGCAATTTCATGCCTTTAATCTGTAGCAGAACAAAGACACTAATATTTGTTGCTTCTCTGTCAGACAATGAAATATTTCTGCAGGAAAGTTGTCATCAGGGCTGATGTAAATCTTAGCTACACCATTTTCTTACTTCTTATGATTCAGTTCAAGGTCTTTCTTGGAGCCATTTAAAAATTCACAGTCTCATTTAATATCCCTTTTAAGGAAACATGAAACTCATCTTAGTATGATTTTTTGTTTCAAGGACTATGCAAGTACTGTGCTATTAGCCTATGCTTGGTCCATTTGGGAATGTCCTGCATCTTGTGGATTACCCTTTAAGTACTAGTTTAGGAGGAAAAATAAAATAAAAGGTGTGTTTTCTTCTGGGTACATACATGTCCAGTAGGTCTCTTTGGTTCTAATGGTGTCTGCCTTGGAAAGGTGAAAACTTCAAAGGCATTTTTTTAGTAATGAGAGCTATAATATCTTGAGTAGATATACTCAGGGTAGAATCCTGTGGAGAAGTTTTCTGTGGTCTAAGTACTTGACTTCTGTTTAGTTTCCCATTGCCCTGATGAGCTTGTAAACTTCTAGCTTTATGTAGGCTTTTGAGAGGTATTTTTATTTGTTTGTTTGCTGAACAATGGAGAGAATAGTTCTTTTGAAAGCTCATCAAACCATAAGGACCAGGGTTACACTTGCGCAACTTCCCTGCGGAAGTGCAGCTAACAATACAGGATCTCTTTAGTTCTTGTCACCTACACAAGCTCTTTGAAATGGTGCTGGAGAGGCACAAAGTAGTTTCCCTTTCAATAGTCCGTTTGACTGGTGAACGTGTTTTGGGAGAATAGGCATTACAGTAGCTGTTGTGACAGCTGCTGTATTCATCTTGGAAGCAGGGGTTGGGATGCAGTAACTCAAAGTTATAACATTTAACTTAATACTTCTTGCCCACCTCTTTTCTGTTTTCTTCCAGACAGTGCTCTTACAAGATCCTGCCTTAGCAGGAGCAGATACTTTGTCCAGGTCTAGTCAGTAGTCAGAGAGCACTGATCTGATAGCTATTGCTGTTGAGCACTGGAGAACAGTGAGGACTGGAAGCATGTTTTGAGACTTGAATGTTCATTCTGTTTGAAACCTTCAATTTAGGATTATATACTTGGCAGTAGTTTTTTTCACTTCAGGGTAGGGATTGGTTTGCAACTCTAGACATGCAGAATGTTTACTTCAGCATCTCACTTTGTTGTTTCATCAGCAGTATGTGTTTCATTCTAGGTCAGATCTGTTCTTTGTTCATATTTTCCCATTTGACATCCATATGATGCTAAAGAATGAGCCCCCACACCTGGTATATCCAAGAAAATTGAGTGGGATGTTCCTTCTAGAGTAAATATTTCTTATGGGCAAGGCCACTAATAAGATTTAAATTATTTGGGTTTTTTAGCTTTAAAATACTTGGAGTTTTTGATCTCCTTCATTTCTTGGTCTTCAGTCAGTTCTGCTATTTTTCCTTGTATTGGTTCTGGCAAATGCATTTTTAAAGGAAGATGTGTTGCCTACTCATCTAAACAGTTTTAATGAAATCCTTTCTTTTTTTGAGAAGTATTGTGATACATTTTGTACGGGTGCTTTGCCTCAGGCGTCTTGACCATAAGTCTGTCTTCAGAAATGAACTATTCCTTTTCCTTTTAAATTTATCAAATTATTATTGTTGTTTTCTGAAGGGTTGACCAAGGCCTTTAGCTTCTGTTTTTATTTTCAGTTAGTTTTGGATAATAATCCTTCATGTCAATGTCTATGTGCCCTGAAGTGAAGGGAAGCTCTCAGTTACTTAACATTAAATAATTTTCTTTATTTCTTAAGGACTGCAATAAGATAGAAATCTCTGTAGACCTAAGGCTCAGTCTGAAAAAGAAAACACAAATACAAAAACCCCCACAATTAACCAACCTACCCTAAAAACACCCAACTCCAAAATCCCCCAAAAAGAGGAAGTTTGGTTTGTTTGTCTATGAAGAGAGCACTGATGCTACCTGTTATGTTCCAAAACTGTTAAAAGGATTTTTTGAGCTTTAAGCTGACAGGCTGAACAAATTCCCTGCTGACATAACTATGCTATTGTAGAACAGTGGTATTGAATCTTTAATTCTTCAAATGCTTTCCTTAGAGTTTTTCTAGTAGTAACTCTATTTTTGTGGATTACTTTTTAAAAAATACTGTAGAGTCAGAGTTCATCTTAAATACTTCAGTTCTGGCTTTAAAATAATCAAAATTTGAGTTCAGCTTGAAAAGCCTGTTTTCAGACCTGTGCATGTCTAAAGCATGCCAATGACCAGGATTAAATGAAACATGAGGGGAAAATGGCCAAACGTACTGAAATGACCAAGGCAACTTGGGGTATGATTATGCTTGCAAAACACAAGGTATGTTTATAGGTGTGACACTGCTTGTCTTCAAGTTCTTTTTATAAGAATGTAAGTAAGTATCTGAAACACTTCAGAACTCCATTTAATTTAAACAAACAAACAGAAAGAAAAGGCAAAAGAAACAAAATTTTTACATATTTAGCTGAATTTTCTGTGGTAGTTAAACCCACAAAGTGCAATGGGCTTGATGAAATTAAGTGAAGAAAAAGAAATAAGAAATGTTTCAGAATTTTACTGCATCAAGAATCTGAGAATGTTCCCTAATGTTTGCCAGTTCACTGCTAAACCTAGAAATACCTTTCACGTCTCCTGTTCTCAGAGAATTGTAGGTGATTCATTTACATATTAAATATGAACTTTCTTCCAGTACTCAAAAGCAGCAAATAATTCCAAAGAATTGGAAGACTGTGAGCAAGCTAACAAACTGGGAGCAGTTAACAGTACCTTAAGGTATGCTGTGATTAACAACAACAGTACAAAAATTGTAACAAAGGAGCATTTCATTTTGTCTGTCTTGGTTTTGCAATGTGCTAGTTTTTGTTATTCATTCTTTCCATAACTCATTAGAATGTAAGTGTGAAATGATGCAAGAACATCTGAAGGTGTTATGTGATAAGTAGATTTTTTTTAAGTACACTTTGATATTATTTGAAAGAGGTGAAAGAGGTATCTTATAGCATGAAGATTCAGAAGAAACTTGCAAATATCCCTGCCTTTTTTTCTACTTTTTACCAGTATCAGTCTTTGTTATTGAAGACTGTGCTGGATTAAGGGGTTCTGTCCTGCTCTGTCCTTCTGTTACACTGATGTGCCTGTTTGTGATGATTCAATGAACCAGATCAGGGAGCTTGTTGAGTTACTTGTGGTGTTGGCAAAGTTATTTTTAGCTTGGATCAATTCCCTGATCTTACTTGTTGCATGGCACTGTCAAGGTTGGGTGGGAGGAATTCTGCAGGATAGTGTTGCCCCTGAGTAGGAAAGTGTGTGGAACAGCACTTAGGAAAACCTGCATTCTACTAGATTCCCCACCTTTCAAAAGCAGAAATAGAAAATCAATTCCCCGCTGTTGACGAAGAGGCGTGGTGTCTTTGGCCACAGATTTCAGCAGTTCTACCTGATAGAAATGTTGACGCTCTTTCCTGTCATCTGACAAAATGGGACTGCTATCAAAAAGTGACTACTTCTGCCTGATTTGCAGTGTTATAAACCAAACTGGACAGAGCCCTTATCCAAGGTTTTTTTAGGGGAAGAAAGAAGCTATTTACTCTCCTTCACTCCTGTAGGGCAAAAGGAGATGAGATTGAGTACACATGAAGAGCTTAAGAGAATGTCTTTTGCAGGAGTAGGATAGACAATTAGAGTTGGGAGAGGATCCTGCAAGTGCAGGAAGAATTTGTGCCTTCTAGGCAAATATCCATGTTCTCTACCTAGCAGTGCATCATCCTCATGGTTTTGGGTTATTTTCCTTTATCAGCTGTATTTCTTGTGATTATCAAATCTTGCCTGCTAGTAATTACTGGAGAAGTTCCTCACTTAATGCCAAGTATGAAGTGTCCTGTTGTGATCTGACAGAAGGTTGGAAATGTATCATGTTATAGAATTGCCTCTGTTTGTAGAATTGAGCTAGTACTAATTTGATCAAACAGAATAGGCTGTTTGCATTATTTCAAAGTGCTTCACTGCACCTTGGAGTGAAATTCCCAATCTTAACTTTGCTTACATTTTGCTGTCAGTGGTGTTGCATCAGTAGTTCTGTGCCACATAGAAGAAAGCATTCAGCTTTTGGCACTGTTTGTATTTCATAGCATGGGAACTTCAAAGTACTTGTCTCTGGTACAGTACACCTTTGAAAATGGAATACCATTATTATTTAAAAGGCTTAAGGTAAATCATATTCATAGCATAATTTAGCTTAGAATTTAGACATCCAGTCTCCCACTAAAAAGCAAGGCTAACTATTGTAGATGTCATTGAAAGTACAGGTTATGAAAATATGATTATTCCTTCCCTCTCCCCTGCCCTAAGTGACAGCTGCTAAAGGAATACTTTGAAGTGTTAAAAATGTATGCTATGAAGGTATTTTACCAAGCTCCTAGTGAAGGAAGAGAAGTCACTGCTGCAGCACAGTTTGTTCAGATAATGATGGAAAAATCTTTCTTGCTGTCTTAACATGAAGATGACTTTTTAAAGTATTGCAGTTGATGCCAGCTTGAATCTCTCTGCAGCTTACAAGCAGTAACTCCATGTATTCTTGAGTTTCAGATACAGTAATTCAGAATTCAGTTTCAAGTTAACTACTATATGTGGATTGTGTTTCTTTCAGTAACTCATCTTGGTGGTGTTTATTTAAAAGTTTAAAATGTATCTTTTTCCCCCTCAGTAACCAAAGTAAGGAGGCTTTCATTGACTGGGCAAGATACGATGATTCACAGGATCATTTTTGTGAGCTTGATGGTAAAAATGTTTAAGCTTTCTCACAGTGCTTGTTTTATTTGCTGTCTCTTAAAAAACACAAAACATTATAGTTTCTCTGCAAATAAGTGTTTTTAAAAAGTTTTAATTTTGTGCTAAATGGAGGTGTGAAAGTTCATGTCATCTTACATGCAAAGAATGCAATTTTTTACAAGGAGCATTTGGTAGTCTACACAATGCACATTCACTGTTACCTCCTCATAGTGTAGTGAACAGGAGACTTTGGAAATAAAAAAGGAAGATAAATGGGAGGGGTTAGCATCTAATTTCTAAAAATCTTCTCACAAAAGAAGTTGCATCTGGCACAAATACAGCACAAATTACTTACAGCTGATTGTTTCTTGCTACTATATTATTTTTGTTGCTATTCTGTCTATGCTTAGACTGAGTTTGTTCCTCCTGCAACCTTGCTATGTTTCCAAATGATCTCTGCACTAAATTCACCTGTTATCTGGAAGGACTTCCTTATTGTTAAAACATTAGGATACTAGATTGTGTCTTCCCTCTGCTCCACATATGTGAATCTTTTTATTTGCTTGTAATGTTCAAACCTCAAAGGAATGTTTTTCAGATAAACATGAGAATTGCCAAGTTCAGGAATGACTGCTAAAGGCCTTTCTAATAAGTACCTTAGAAAACTTATTCTTCTAGGAAGACTTAGAGCATAATACAAGGTGGTTTAATCTACCTTTAGGCTTATGTTTGGAGTCACCTGAGAAAGTAACAGTTGTAGTGGACTTTCCAAATGCAATTCTCTTTTAGCACTTCTTCTGTGTCTCATCTGTGAAAGTTTTCTGTATAAGCTGTGTCTGTAATAAATGGTCGGTGAGCATTACTGTAGATCTGAACTGTTACATGCAATAAGCTGCAGTTCTTTCCACTATCTTCAAGCTGCCTGTTTACATTTTCAAGAGGACTCAGTTGGGAAAGGTATAGTTCAGGAGCATTTCGCTATAATCAGTGGTTCGTGATTATAACTCCATCTCTCCTTACATTATGCCCTGCTGAAGGGGGATGTACTGCCCTCAGCTGTGTTTTTCCAGTGCATTTTTTCACGTTAAGCTGATTCATCTTACTTGAGTATCAGGAAAGTAAGTTGCCATCTCCCCTGGATTGTTATGATGAATTGGCTTACCAGATGAGTTTGTGAGCTGGAGCAGGGAGACATGAGGGAGAATAACTACTGGCAGTGACAGGAGGAGGTAGAAACTCTTGTTCTCTTCCTCTCCTCTCTTGCTGATGGTGAGAGAGCTCTTAATTCACTCAACTGTAGCACAAGACCATAGAATCAGTTTTACTTTTTACTTTAAGCTTTTTATTGGGCTTAATGATAAACTAGATAAGGGAATTGATCTAGCTGAAAAAAACTTCATGGCCCAGGTCAGCTTTCCATCTTTCTGTTGCACTGCCCCACAGACTCCAATTTATATGGATAATGAGAAGAAAAAGCGGAGACCTGAAGTGTCCAGGAAATGTAGGAACTACTTAGGTTAGGCATGCTGTCAAAGAAATAAAGAAAGCTATAATTTGGCATTGTCTCATCTGGCACTCACTGTCCTGTGTGTCTTGTGTCTGTCTCTGTTCTTGCTATTACTGCTGAAGCAAGGCTTAACTGCTTATGCAGAATTGTCTCTTCTTTTTAGAGCAGTTTCCACTCTGTTTCTGTGGCATTTTTTGATATCTGAGGAAATATTCAGTGGTACTGCTTGGCCTGTTCCTATGAATAAATCTCTGGACTACTGGCTTGTGTTGTATGTGGGGTTTTTTTAAGAGTTGCTCTTGACCTAGAATTTCAAAGAGGAGGGAGTCTGCTTTTTACTGGTTGTAGCTGGAAACTTAGGTTTCTATTCATATAGAGTTTTTAAGCAGAGAGAGTACTATTTCACAGTTTTCTTTGGATATCTTACTTGAATTTGTAGTGAACTTCAGAGATGAGAGTATAACTTGTTGAAATGCACTGAAATAAGGTGTTTCTTGCCATAACCAACAGAGCATTCTGCAATATGCTGAAAGTTTGTTCATTTAAGCAATGTGGTCCAGATTCTCTGCCAGTATACAAGGGTTTCTGGTGGGGGGAAGGGGATTTAGCTAATAAATACACAGTATATACCAACTACAAGATGCACTTCTTCAACCTTGTCTTTATTAAGAAGGCATTTTAGCAGTATACCCACTTCAAAAAAGCAACCCTTCCCAATCAAATACTGACAGACAGATAAACCCTGAATTTGAAGCCCATTTAAAACAAAACACTGTTCATAGCATAGGGTGAGAGAACATGTTGCATGGCAAGTATTTATGGTGGAGTTGAAGAAGCCATATAGGTGTTCAGAAGTTTTAGAAATTATGGCCACATAAGAGACTTTGGAATAAATTCTATACTTTTGAGCTTTCTGTTTGGTGTGTATATTGCTGTATTTTTATGTACAAAGCATTTATAATCCAGCCGGAAGACAGAATAGTATTATACAATACCTCTTATTCATATTAAATTCTGTGACTGTTTTTTAAGATTAAGTCTTTTTTAACTGATGAGTTAGAACATGTAACAAAAGGTTTCCTATTTAGATGAGAGATCTCCAGATGCACAGTATGTGGATTTGCTGCTGAATCCAGAACGTTACACTGGATACAAGGGGCCCTCTGCTTGGAGAGTGTGGAACAGCATCTACGAAGAAAACTGCTTCAAGTAATTGTGAGGGAGGGGAAGCCTATCTTTTATATTTGCATTTCAGTTTAGCTTAAAACTGATTTTTATGTTTTCTGTCTCATTTTTTAGGCCCCGATCTGTCTACCGTCCTTTAAATCCACTGGCACCTAGCAGGGGTAAGTCTTGCCTGTTTTATTTGTGTCTAATGTGTGTCTTTTAATATAGTGACCTTCACAATAAAAGTGATACAAATAGTAATGTTCAGTCTGTAGATACATTTTATGCTTTTTTTAATTTCCTCTGTAGCAGTAGCTGTTAATTTTTAAATACTTGGACTAAGATTTGTGAGACTTGATGACATACCTGCTTAATCTTATTGCATAGGAACAGGCTTATTAATGTCAGGGGAGCTAACGTGAAAACTAAAATACATCTCAAACTGTTTAGTAGGTGTCACAGTAATTTTCCAATGCGGATGGGAAGGAGTTAAAGTTCAACAAAAAAATCAGCACTGTGTTCTTCCCTTGTTCATTCGGGGGTTGTTGTTTGGTTGGGGTTTTTTTGTAGAGCATTATCACTTCAGCTCATAGTCATTCTGGTATAATGTAGCTTTACAGTTTCTATCTATAATGTTTACTGTATTACAAATGTACAAATAATTGCATTATTTGAAGAAAGAGTGAATACATAGGAAGGCTCAGTTATCTGCAAGAGTGGGTAAAATATGCTAATGATTGGGGTTTAAGTTTTTTAATTTAAATGGAAAACTATAACCTGGTGTTGCAAATAAATCCACTTTCCCCTGTCAGTGTGTCTCATTTCCATTAAAAATTTACTGTTAGCCAGTAGATTGAGTTAGACACCACACATTAGAAAATCAAGATAGCTTTTAGTAATTACAAATATTAAGAAAATATACTGCTGATGTACACAAATAAAAAGAAGTGCAAGAGCAGTTTAACTCGGGGATCAGAATTTCAGAAAGGAACATTGGTCAGGTTGTTGAATAATGTGAACTGAAGAAGATAACTTCCTAATGAACTTTCTGAAGCTAAAATATACTTTTCAAGAATATGTAAATGAGCTACTACTAAGATTTCAAATTCTTAGTGACTTTTATCATTATTATAATTTGTTTAGTCTCAGAAAGTATTGAGGAGGAGGAAGAAGATGGAAAGTAGCCTATTTCTTGTAGATTAAATAAAGTTTCTTGCATTTATTGGTTTGGGGTTTTTTTTTTTTTTCAGTTTTTATAGTAAAGCCTGTGTTTCATTACTGCTTTGCTGTGGAAATTATCTTTTTAATGCTTATGGACTTTTAAATTTTGTTTCTTTTTTTTTTTTTTTCCCCTAAGGAGGAGATGATGGTAAGTCACCTTGTTTTGCTTGACTTGCAGAAATGAAGTAAGCATTAAAGAGCTTTGGACATCTGATTTATTCACTTTATTGCTGTTGCATAAAAGGGTGGGAAAGTTATGTTTTTATGCAGATGATTGATCAGAAAATGTTTTTATTGGGATAATTCATTTGGAGTAGGGGGAAAGAGAGCATAAGAGCAGAAAACAGTTCTGTTGTTGATTCTTATCCTTGTAACAGAATATGTGTTGTGATGTTATTAGTGAGGTAACTGGAGATGCATAGATTAAAGGATTCTTGGGTCTCCTGCTGAGCCTGGTTGATACTGATGTCAGATTACTTAAAAGAAGAGGGACAGTTTTTTGTGTACTGCCTTAAATGTCCTTGATTTTGGGAAGGTGGGGAGAGAGTGGGGAGAAAATTTGGTCTGTCTGCAGTGAGGCAGACTTTTAAGATTTTTTCAGTCAGCTGATAGCACTCAGGCAAAAGAACTAAGCCTACAGGAAACCTTCAGAAAGCAGTCAAGGTAAAGGCTATCAGATATAATTACACTCTTCCATCATGTCTTTCACCACTAGCACGTCTAATCAGGCTTGCGCTTCCATACACTTCTGAATGCCCTGACCAGCAGCTTAGTCATGCCCATTCTTGTTTTTCTCCTATTCTGACCCCAACATATTTAAACTAACCTCAACGTTAAGCCACTTCAGTGCCTCTTCTCACTTTAATAGTTGAATTACTTAGCTTTATGTCCAGATGGCAGCTGATGTTAGTATGCATAATAATTCAAAGATACTGTGATGTTGAAAATGAATGTTCTTCATTTAACTGTATACTTTGTATTTGCAGGAGAATCTTTCTACACATGGCTAGAAGGTAAAAGCTCTTGGATGGGTTAATATAATGTTAAATTCTCTAGAAGAAACATTGTAGGGTTTTTTTTTTTTCCATCTCCCCAAATATTTTCCATGGTGTGGGCTTCTTAATAAATTGTGCAGAACTTCAGAGTGCCATTCAAAGAATATTTTTTTCTTGAGGGTCTTTGGAAATCTCAGTCATTTAGATGGTATACTCCTTTAAATCCTTCAGTGCTTCACCTTTTATAAAGGGGGAGTTCATTCCAATACCAGCTACTTCAAATTTTCTGCACATTTTAGGCATTTAAACAGGGACATTATTATTAATAACATCGCTAAGAATTTTTATTTAAAAACAGCTTTAAAAAAAAAAGTATTTGATGGTTCTGTTCTCAGTATATAAACTAACATGAGTATAATATGTGTTCAGAAGGCAATTTGCTTTTTATTCATATTTAAATTTAAATCATTACTACAGTGATAGCAATCAAAATCATGTTTTGGAGGTGTGTGGAAAAGTAAATGAGTTAAATACGTTTAATTTTAAACTTCATTCTGCCTCTCATAAATCTTTTACTTGTCTAGTTGGAAATCTCTGACTGGTGCTGTTGTAGGAAAGCATACACATTTGTTTGCTATTTAATAAGTAGTCTTCGTAAATGAGGTCATATCTCAGCCTCACAGATAGGCTTCAGCATCAGCTGTTCCTGCTTCTATTTGTGGAGATTGAAGTGGCAGGGAAGTCACCCAAACATACCTTTGAGAAAGGAACAAACTCCTTAATTCCAAGTGAATTCCAAGTGTAATCTCTGTCTCTGGGTCTAGGTGATAATGTAAGTAATTTATCCATTTAAATTCTATTTTGGCCACCCAATGCCATTGCATTTCTGTTTCCACTGTAGAAGTCAGTACCTATCAAAGTCATATTTTTCAAGATTTTCATCTGTGCATTTAAATTTTCAGCGAATTTATGGTAGAGTTGGGAAGAAATAGTTTTGCTCTTTTCCAATGCCACAAGGTTTTCTGGGGCTTTCGATGTTTTTCGGTAAGGTCACTAACTCAGTGTTAGGTTTAATTCTAACTAGGATGCGCCACAGTATAGTTCTGGTCTCCAGACTGTCAGAATTCAAGACTATTTGAAATTTATTGCTCCAAACATGTAAGCATCATATTTTTGTGTGGCAATTTATATGTGCTAGTTGACCACATATTTATTTGACTGTATTTATTAGAACACTAACATACCAAGTAAGAAGTGTCAAACTTCATTCTTACTACTGCTTTGTATAAAAAAAATAAGAGGTAAGTTTTTTCTATGATGGATATAAAGACTTACAATGCTGAAGTACTGTAATTGTAACTCTTGAAAGATAAACAGTGCAGACTTGCATCACTGAAATGTCAAGGTATAGTCATTTTAATACATTATTTCCAGTATTTAATTTGGGGCCTGTTTGCCTTTTTTCCCGGACAGGTCTTTGCCTTGAGAAAAGAGTGTTTTATAAACTCATTTCTGGACTTCATGCTAGCATCAACTTGCATCTGTGTGCAAATTATCTTCTTGAAGGTAATTTAAGTCTATGTAAAGTTGCTGGATGGAATTCTACAATGTATGTAATATGTATTGGGGTTTTTTTCTGATTTTTTTTGGTGTGTACTTGGTTGCTTTTTTCATTCTAAATATGTATGGTTTATTCACCCTGCCCTATTTTTTTCCCCTCTGTACAGAAACGTGGGGGAAGCCTTGCTGGGGACCAAATGTGAAAGAGTTTACTCGCCGCTTTGACCCTGTTGAAACAAAAGGAGAAGGACCAAGGAGGCTCAAAAATTTGTATTTCTTGTATTTGATAGAGCTGCGTGCTTTGTCAAAGGTTGCACCATACTTTGAGCGTTCAGTTGTTGACCTTTACACTGGAAATGGCCATGAGGATGCTGAATCTAAAGCTCTCTTACTAGATATCTTCAGGGACACCAAGTAAGGCATAGGATTATTGTTGTATCAATTGTTTGAAATTCTCAGTTATGTTCACAAGTGAGACCAGATGATTCGTTGGTAGGATAGGATAAGGAGGAGAGTGGAATGAAGAAATAACATTAAGTAATGGGAGAACAAGAGGAATTTGTATATTTGACAGGAATAGATGAATATTTTTCAGGTTTGAATATACCAATCTTTACAAAACAAAAAATTAAACAAAAATTCTCCTCCTCCCCCAAGTCCCACACGACACCCTACTACTTTCTATTTGTTGCTTTCTCTTGATTCTTCAGTATAACGGTGCTGTGTGGTTTCGTTGCTGTCCCTGCTGATAATCTTAGTAGGTATTTGAGATGTGATCAGACCACAATTGACTGAAAGGTGAACATTGAGACAATTTCAGTGGGTATTAGAAAGAAATCTTGATCAGTGGAAACAGAGTGAAGAAAATTCTCAACAAAACTGTAAATAACATATTTCAAGTTATGGTGATCGAGTAGTAGAACTGATACCATTCAGTAAATTTTTTAAAAGCTAATTTGTAAAAACTAGGAACTCTGAAAAGTATTGCACACTGATGGCATCAGCTGCTCACCAACCTTGATGGAACACTATGTCAGCATTTGGGGTTTTTTTTGCATTTTGTCTTTATTAGGTCCTTCCACATGCACTTTGATGAAAAGTCCATGTTTGCTGGAGATAAAAAAGGAGCCAAGTCATTAAAGGTAAAGCTTGCTTTCTGAATGATACCCAAAATGTCCATTTTGGAATTAAGTTGTGTTATTTTAGAAAACCTCTCTACCTACCAGAAGTGTACTGCTTGGATGGGAAAAGGCTGGGGTAAAAATTTAGAATCATATCTGAGGCCTCTTAATCTGCAATTGTAATAAATTAATATGAGGCATTGTCCTGAGCCAAGCAGATTGAAATCTCTGGTTTAGTGCCTTGGGTCTGCCAGCAGGATTGTGGTGAGGCAGATGAGTTGAACTGCATTACCCATTGATGCAGTGCTGTTTTTTTAAATAGAGTATCTGTTTCACATTAATATAGAATCACAGAATGGTTTGGCTTGGAAAGGACCTTCAGATCATATCGTTCCAACCTTCCTGCCATGGGCAGGGACGCCTCACACCAGACCATGTTGCCCAAGGCTCTGTCCAACCTGACCTTGAACACTGCAGGGGTGTAGCATTTACCACTTCTTTGGGCGACCTGTTCCAGTGCCTCACCACCCTCACTGTAAAGAACTTCTTCCTTATATCTAATCTAAACTGCCCTTGTTTAAGTTTGAACCCATCACCCTTTGTCCTACCACTACAGTCCCTGATGAAGAGTCCCTCTCAGCATCCTTGTAGGCCCCCTTCAGACACTGGAGGGCTGCTGTGAGGTCACCATGCAGCCAGTGATGTTTGCTTAAAAACCAGATGCCCTATATAATATAATATAGTGCAATATGATCTTACACTTAATATAAGAAAAGCATAGTTCCTGGACATGGGAACCTAATGTGAATGCTGTTACTATCTAGCAGCTTCCAGTGCTAACATGCTGATGTTCAGATTGGTACGCACTACAATTCCACAGTTGGAGTGTACCTCAGTAATAACGGTCTGTTTTAATACTTACTAACACTTTTAATACTTACCTCAGTAGTATGGAATTTCATCAGCATTAGAGAGAATACTATTAGAAGGGTGCCAGCAGTTCATCAGCTCAGCTAGTGTTTTTCTCACCCTTAAATATTTAATTGAAATCATCTTAATTAGTCCTGTGCTGTGCTTGCTTCTGCTCTGACTGAAGCTGCGAAGCAACAAGCTACCCATAGCTTTGGACAGGAAATGTCTTTTGTGAATTGTAACTTGTTTTCCTGCTTTTCAGAAAGGTGAGTTGGTTCAAAAGGCATTTGAATAATAGAAGAAAGATTGACTGGTCAGGGACACGGATACAGTGCATACAGCTCAGAACGTTTTGAGATAGTTGGTAGAAACTCAGCGTATTACCCTGAATGTTCTGTATTTTGGTGTTGGTTTGTTTTTTGGGGGGTTTTGGGTTTGGTTTGGTTTTGGGTGTTTGTTTGTTTGTTTTTGAAGAATTAACTGTTAGCAATGTCTTGTAAACAAGATTCTGGGTTTACGTGGACCTTTGTTATGGCCTGACCACAAAAAGTAGTGGGTTTTTTCAGTTTTAGTAATAGAGAATTGATATTCTAGTGGTACTAGGTGAGTTAGTTAGCCTTCTGGTTTTGTGAAGCTGAGAGATAACTTTAATTTAACCTTTTTGTTTGTTTTGTTTTGTTTTTTTAACTGATAGGAAGAATTCAGGTTGCATTTCAAGAACATATCCCGCATAATGGATTGTGTTGGATGTGACAAATGCAGGCTGTGGGGCAAACTACAGGTACAGTTTATTGTGTGGAGGGGGAGGTTAGAAGGTAAGCATTTGTTTCAGTCTGGCAGGATGCCTCTTACCTTAGCATTCAGACTTTCTGCACATGGCAGATCTTTGATATCATTACCTATATATTAAAGATGGACATCTTTAGTTCACTGTTAAAAGAAAAGTTAAAAAAAGAAGTCCATTATGTTTAGCCAACAGCTGCTTAGTTTACTAAAAGCTACAGTTCGTGTTCTCCAAAAACAAAAAAAAAAAAGGAATTACTTAAAATATCTTTTAAAAGTATTTAAAGCAGATGCTTCATGGCAAAGTCTTAGTGGCAGTCAATATCTTCTCTGTATTCTGTGATCAGATGAACCTGTAGAATCACCTGTGGGAAGCTTTCCTGGATATACAGCACTTGCTTACTGATTAGAAAATCCATTGCAAGGCTTAACTCTGCAAATTGAGGCATAAGAAAAAGAAGCAATTCAGATGTTTGCAATTTATGCAGAAGGCAGCAAATGAATGCAGAGGTGCATAGTAAAGCTGGAAGTTGAAAACCAGTATCAATTTCTGGACAATTACTGGTTTTATTTTATTAAGAACAAGATTTTAAACCTCAAGACTAATGTTCAGTCCAGACTGAGAATGGTTGTTACTGTGGGATATCTACTGAACTCTATAGCATTAAGCTTGTCAGAGTTCAGTTTTTAAAGAAATATGTAACATAAAAAATGTGGTGGTTTCAGCTGCATTTCTGGAGTTCTGCCTACTCTGTCCTAGTGAACATTTCTGATCTGTTACTGTTGTTTCCTTCTCACACAAAATGAAATTGGGCCAGGTTCCCTGACCTATAAAATTCACTTGCAGCCATCCTCAACCACTTCTTGTCAAAACCCAGTGGTTGTTTCTGTAGCCCGATTTAAAAGGGGAAATAAGAATAGCTTCTGCTGTTTTAGTTCTGTATAGAAAATAGGGATTGAAACTGAAACTGCAATGTCTGCCACTAGGACTGGAGGTGGAAAAAGCAGAAGTGTTGTGATACCTCATAATAAAATCTAGTTTGACTTTGAAGGGGGAGGGGAGAGGATAAGGAGTGATCTGATCCAACAGCTCCTGCAGCAGAGGAGCATCTGTAAAGCAAGGGGCAGGAGGGAGCTGGAAGTCTTGTAACAGGTATGTTTTCATATGCATCTGCTGTGGCTGAGAAGAAAGGAGGTGAGAAAGGAAGAGATCAGAAACACAAGGATGAAGAGCAAGTATTCCTGAGGAAACAAATGTTCTTAAATAAGTGACTGAACCAGGTACACAGTCGATGGCAAGCATTTGCATTAGTGTCCTTGTTGGTGCACAGTTCTTTGGGTTAAGGTAGTGTCAATATACAAGAATTGCACGGATTAATAATTTGTTACTTTTTTTATGATTTCCTGACTGGAGGAGTGATCTTACTGCTAAAAAAACCTACTGCACTTGGTTTTTGTAGACTCAAGGCTTAGGAACTGCTCTGAAAATCTTGTTTTCTGAGAAGGAAATAAAGAGCCTTCCTGAGAATAGCCCATCAAAAGGTTTTCAACTCACACGTCAAGAAATAGTTGCTCTTGTAAATGCCTTTGGAAGGTAAGTTGTTATCATTTGTGTAGTAGAAAAAGCATACAACTTCAGTGTCACCACTCAAGTTCTATGGAAAGATAGATATGGTACTGTACAGGTAGCTGTAGCTTTCTAAAGGCTGAATTAATGATACTGATAAACTTAATGCCATCAAACTGAGTATGTGGAGTGTTTATTTATTAGCCTTGGTCATCATTCTGTGTTTTGATCTAATTTTTCTATCTCAAATCCCATAAAGTCCATCTTGTGAGAGCTGGATTTAAGTCTCTTAAACAGCCATCAGCATTAGACTTTGAGTGTATATTCTGCTTTTTGACCATGGGCTACAGCTACTCTGCATTTTGTATTTCTGTTTTAAATGTGTGTATGTAAAATGCAGCAAAAAGGAAGAAGAGTACTTGGGAGACTTTTTTTAACACTAACTGTTATTTTAGCCCTTAGGTTTTTGGATATTTGTGTTATGATGTAATTGTTTTTGTTAAACCTTTATCCCATTCAAGTGACGAAATAAATTAACACCTTTAAAAGACGTCTAGAACTTGCTTTGTTCATCATGCTAGTTCTTCACATCTTGAATTTAACAATTGCTTCCTGTTTAAAGGAATGTAATAAAACATTACCTCTGCTTAGAGTTCTTTTGAATGTTTAATGAAGTTGACAAGTATATATAAACATATAACATTTAATCTCTATAATATATTATGTAAATATAATGGTGAGTCACATAGTAGATCTTTTGAAGGAAAGTAGTATATTAAGTGCATTCATTTTTTGGAACAAAATTGTGTTGGGAAAAAACCAACCAAAGGGCCCCATGGAAGGTGATGATTTGCACTTCTCTTTCACAGTTGACTTACTAACACTGAAGGGTTTTTCTTTTACAGGCTTTCCACAAGTATAAAAGAGCTGCAGAATTTTAAAGTTTTATTACAACAAACAAGGTAATGAAGGCCTTTGCACAACTCATTAGTGAAGACCATTTACATGACTGCATTGAGCAGAAGGAACCGATCCTTACAGGACTCATATGAACTGAAAAAAGTAAAAACAAATACCAACTTGAATATTTATGTTTAAGCTACGAATGGTTATTAATTAGAAAAGATATTTATGAATGAAATATATGGTTTTTAAATGTGTAAATTATGCTGATCTGTTTATTTTTAAGTTCTCTGCTCACAGTCTGTTGTACTGAAACTTCATAATTGTTCTTTATTTCCTTGTCTTTCTGAGGCAGTTGTTTTATATGAAAATATACATTACCTCTCCCCTGACTTGGCCGGTTCTGAGAGAGGGTGTTTGCCTCTCTCCAGTGCTGAGCTTCAGTGTATTCTGAGGATGGGGTTGTGCTGATTCTGGCTGTCTGAAAGATGAATGGAGGGGAAAAAAATTAAAAAAAAAAAAAATAAAAAAAGGAAGTGGGGCTCCTGTTGAGTTCTGACTTCTCCCTGTAATAGGAAACTTATTTAATAGGAAATTTACTGAGCAGAAAATTGCATTTCATACTGACCTCTATTGCATCATGCTGATAACGGGTTTTTTTTTCCTTCCATGCTGCTCTTCACAATGTCCTTCTTTCCTTAAAGCACCTGCCTTGTCTGTGATGCAGCACAGCTCGGAGTGACTTTTCTGCAGCCCCTGGGCTACCTGCACTTGCTTGGGGGTGTGGGGGTCAGGAGGGGAGGTGGTTGGCGGAGCGCTGGAAAGCCTCAGTCAATCAAATTCGCATCCACACTGTTTTATTTTCTAGGTTGTAATCACAGGTTCAGTTTCCAGAAACGGTCTTTTTGGTGTCTGAAATGTTAAAATAGCACATTTCAATCTTTGAGCTGTGGAAATAGATTTGCTCTTTATGGGTTATGTTCTAGTGCTGCACTTACAAGGTCAGTGCAAAAAGTAAGAACTTGTTTTTGTAGTCACTTTGGAAAAAAGATCCTTTTTAATATTCAGTCACACTGACATTTAACACTGCATGATCTATCTATGCAATCCCTAACTATCATCTTCTTTAAAAGGATATTCAGCATTAAAAAAACGGGTATGTTAATAACATAACATTCATAAAATAAGAAATTACTCATGTATCATTGTCCAGAGATGTCAATGATAACTTACCATTGTCCAAAACAGAATCCAGAAACTAATGAGTAGCAACCAAATGTTGGTTTAATTTAAAATGAAGTAATAGTTTTAAACCAGCATGTTTCAAAGAGAAGTTATGAATGTGGGAAGTGCTGGTACAGTGTAGATACATCTCTTGTTTTTTAAAAGTAAGTCTTCACAAAATAAAGTGCTCTTAAACATTTTTCACTCTACCAGATATTTAGTGACCTGTTTATATAATTGATTGTAGCTGTATTGGCTTGAATAATGTGGTCCTTTATAGCTGAGATTTTCTGAAAGCCGGAATATGCTCCATGTCCTTCATTTCCAGACTAGCTTCAAACTTCTACCTGACTGGAAATGAGATAGACCATTCTGCTGACACTTGCTACTAGAAAGAATACTGTCTTTAAACAGAGTCAACTCTCCTGAGGCAAACTGGAATAAGGGAAAAAAAAAGAGGAAAACCAACCAGCTAACAGCCCCTCCAAGTTTTGGTGATAGCTGCACAATTTGGCAATGAGCTGGTATCCAGTGGGAAGTTTCTGTTTAAGTCAGTAGTTAACTTGATATGGTGTTAGAGAAAGCTGATGCCAGTCTTACCTGGCAGCCTTTCTTGCCTTTGGGCACCCATCTATGTCTGAGCATGTTGCCACAGGCTTCCTCTTTCTAGTTAGTGGAGAAGAGCAGGTGATTTCTAGGTGGATTCATCTGGCTTATTCTGAACTCTGTATTTGCACCCTGGAGTTCATTTTTCTCTGTTAAATTGAAGTGGGAATCTGGGTAACTAGCTTAGATGTGAATAGCTAGCTGTGTTTGGTAAACGAGTTACACCCCAAGTATCTAACTCTTCTGAGTAAC